AGGCAGACACCCAACGACTGAGCCACCCAGGCGCCCCTACTTTGTCCATTTTCAATTCAATTAAATAAAATTTAAAACAATAAACAATTCATTGTTGAATTGTAAAAGTTCATTTTATATTCTGGATACTAGACCCTTATCAGGTATATGATTTACAAATATTTTCTCCCATTCTATGAATGCCTTTTACTTTCTTTGAAGCACAAAATTTTCTTGTGGGCTTCTTTTTGGGGTGATGAAATGTTCTAAAATTGGTGGTGGTGATGGTCACACAATTCTGTGAAGACACTAAAAGCCACTAAACTGAACCCTTAAAAAGGTGTGTCTTAGGGCGCCTGGGTGGCTTAGTCAGTTAAAGGTCTAATTCTTGGTTTCAGCTCAGGTCATGATCACATGGGTCATGAGATGGAGCCCCTGTGGAGTCTGCTTGAAAATTCTCTCCCTCTGCCCCTCCCCACCATTATGCACATGTGTGCTCTTTCTCTCTCTCTAAAATAAATAAATATTCTTTTAAAAAGGGTGTGTCTTGGGGGTGCCCGGGTGGCTCAGTCGTTAACCATCTGCCTTTGACTCAGGTCATGATCCCAGGGTCTTGGGATCGAGCTCCACATCGAGCAGGGAGCCTGCTTCTCCCTCTCCCTGTACCCCTCCACCCCACTCATGCTCTCTTCGTCTCTCTCGCTATCTCTCTTTCAAATAAATAAATAAAATCTTAAAAAAAAAAAAGGAGCATACCTCTGGAGTTTTGTTGACTTTGAGTCTACCAGCTTTGCAGCAGATGTGAATGCAATTTTGGTTTTTCAATAGTACAGTAATCATATATTCTGGACATAATTGGCTGCTAAACTCACAGCCATCCCCGCCCCCCCCTTCTTCCTTATAGACCTTGATTTCATTCAGAAGACAACAGGTTTGGTGAAGCGGGGCCTGCCCCAAACCCCAAGGGATGATTAAAGTTTAGAACAAAAGCCAATAAGACAACCTCATTCCTTTTGCCAGGAACTTGCTTTCTCATCATCCCTTGAAGCTAAGAGTATAGAACAAGAGAGACAAATTGAGGTAAGACTGTTAAGCAAAAAGAAACAGGGACTTGATAATTTGGGAAAATCTAGATTTCAAAAGATGCTAAAATTAGGGATTTCACCATCAGGAAAGCATGTTTTAGAGAGAGAGCCTAGGAGTGCCTGGGTGGCTCAGTCGTTAAGCATCTGCCTTCCGCTCAGGTTATGATCTCAGGGTTCTGGGATCGAGCCCCGCATTGGGCTCCCCGCTCAGCGTGAAGCCTGCTTCTCCCTCTCCCACTCCCCCTGCTTGTGTTCCCTCTCTCGCTGTCTCTCTCTGTCAAATAAATAAATAAAATCTTAAAAAAAAAAAAACCATAGAGAGAGAGAGCCTATGGTTGGACAACCTTTTGCTAGTGTCTGGAAGAGATCAAAAGATCAGAGTACTTTGTTGTTAAGAGTGCTCTTTGAAGAGATCTGGCACGTGACTCGCGGATCCCCTCAGCTTTCTCAGCAGAAGCCAGGAATAAAAATGGCATTATTTCGGAAAGATCTGTAGAGCAATCTCTTGTCTCATGAAGTGAACCCCTGTGACATTCACAGGAGACCCGCAAAGTTCTTAAGGATATTATATCAGCAAAAACATCCCTAGCAAGGATGAAGAGGAGGAGGAGAGGAAATTAAAGAAGGCTTCCCGAGTTTCCTCAAAATTCTTCAAGCAGGAAACAGGCCACTTATATGTTACTTAACCGTAAAGATGTGCTACGCTTCAGGAAAAAAGAATGATGGCTCTGCGGGGCGTGGGGCAGGTCCAGAGGGCAGAGCTCAAGGGCGGGGAGGATTGTGGGTATCCCCTGCTTTTCAAAAGTTTGCCTTACGCCACTTCCCTTTTATGAAAGATCTACATTAGTACCGTTTTCACTAACCAAAAGAAACCCGAAGATTTTTGCTTTTAAAAAGGCAAAAAAGCAAAATTGGCATACTGTGTATTTTGCCGTGAGCCTTTATAGAGGCAGTGTGCACCCCAAGCAGCAAGAGCGGCCCCACCTAGCGCCTTCCCCAGGAACTGCACTCAGCCTCTCGGCATCAAGCCGCCATAGCTTGGAACTGTCTGTGAACATCTGTGCTTTATCTTGATTTATTTTGGGCATCTGTTAGCAATATATGTCCTAAGGTATCAGAAAAGCCTAGGAGGGGTTCTGGGAATGCTCATAAATTTTTCCATATTAAATTAATGGTAATTGCTTCTTTATACCACTTTGACTTATGAAAAGTTTCACAGGAACACTGTTATTTTCAGAGACCAGGGAAAACCTGTGTTCCCAAGCCTTGAAACCTAGTGGAATTTTCTGGGTCGGATTTCAAAATTGCTTGGAACCAGTATTCCTTTTTCCCTTCCATTTTCTTCCTTTTAAAACCGAAATGCCTTGGGGCACCTGGGTGGCTCAGTTGGTTAAGTGTCCGACTCTTGATTTCGGCTCAGGTCATGATCTCGGGATCCTGGGATCGAGCCCTGCATAGGACTCTGTGCTCAGTGCAGTCTGCCTGTCCCTCTCCCTCTGCTCCTCATCCCCCCCTCCACCCCACTTGTGCTCTAAAACAAATAAAATCTTTTTAAAAAATTAATTGAAATGCCTCTAAGTGTTATCCAGTGCCTAAACAAGCCCTGTATTCTGGGATTAGATCATGTTTCTTGAGTTTGTATGCACGAACCCTACTCCACACCACAATCACATGAGATTCTCAGATTCGTGGATAGAGAGGAATTTTGCCCCAGGATAGATCATACCCAGAGTCTCACTCGTACCTAATTTAGATGATTTAGATAATGAGATATGGGACTTCTGAGTTGATGAGATTTAGAACTTGCATTGATGTTCAAGGGGTTAAAACTTTGGGGTGGAAATGGGATGGAGTGAAGGTGTGGCACGTGGGATGGACATTAGTCTTTGAGAGCCAGACAACAGAATATAGTAGACTGAACAATGATTCCCCAATATCATAACCCCCCAAACTTGTGAATATGTTACCTAACATGGTAAAGGGAACTTTGCAGATGTGATTAAGTTAAGGGTCTTGAGGTGAAGCGATTATCTTGGTTTATCCAGGTGGATCCAGTGTAATCACACGGGTCTTTATAAGAGGGAGGCAGAAAGATCAGTCAGAGGATGTGACAAAGGAAGCAGAGGGTCGGCGTTAGAGAAGGATTTGAAGACGTTGTACTGCTGACCTCAAAGATGAAGGAAAGGGCCACAAGCCAATGAATACAGATGGCTTCTAGAAACCGGACGAGGCAAAGAAACAGATTCTCCCAGATGCTTGTTGACACTTGATTTTGTCTCAGTAAAACCCATTTCAGACTCTGACCTCAAGAATTATAAGATGATCTTTATGTTGTTTTATGGGAAACCAATACAAGGTCATACTGAACTTTGGTTTAAGTAGTCAGTTGGTGGCAGAATAGAAAGAGGCAGGCAAGGGGGGTAACACAATCATGAATGGACAGTCTGGAGAAAAGCCACACAAACTCTTGCTCTCTCTGAGCCAGGAGAGGCTCATTCCTCTGGTCAGGTCGGAGGGCATGTGGCCAGGCTCACAGGTGGGAAGCACAGGGGGCTGATTCCAATTAAGGAGAAACTTTTAATAGGATTGTCTGAAAACAGAGTTCCCGCTTGGATTGTGGTGCACCCTACCGATGGAGGTGTAGGGCAGGGACTATTCCCTGTGTCAAATGTATTACAGTTATGTATTGCAATCATTATTTTAAACCTGTCTGCTGTTTGACGGACATAAGTCCCTCCTTCATTTCTGAGACTAGACTCCATACCTTCTCTCAATCAATCAGCACTTTGACTCTAATGTGTAAAACCAACATCTGGGGAGTTTGTTAAAATGCAGATTCTGGATCAGGTCAGGCTGGGGCCGAGGAGAGGCGGTGGTCTGCAGCGACTTTAGGTAATAAGATTCTAGAGACTAGTGATCCTCAAACTTGAACATGCATCAGAATCACCTGAAGGCCTTGCAAAAACAGGTAGCTGGGCCCCCACCTGGAATCCGATTTAGTAGGTCTCAGGCCTGAAAGTTTGCATTTTTAAACAAATTCCCAGATGAGGAGGATGAGGGGAAGGAGGAACCACACTTTGAGAGCCAATACTCTAGAACATTCTGTGAGCCATGGCTTTGGCCCTTTCTGGAGCGCGGTGTGGTATGCCCACTGCTGGAGTTTGGGTTGTTTAGTTTACAAAGTGTTTCCATTGCTCCCAAGAAACACTTGGGAGGGGTTATTCATTCTTCCTTGAGTTTAACTTTGTTGTTAATAAAACATAAGTTTCAGACATTTCTTATCAGGATTTTGGTGACGTCTATGTAGAAGAGGCCTCTGCTGGCCCTGGGGACTCACTGCTATTGAACATTTACTGTGTGCCAGGCCTGGCCCCAGGCCCTCTGCAGACTAAATGTAGGTCCTTGACTGCAACAGGGGGCAGGCCCCCCCAGGCACTGCCTGTCTGTGGCCCTCACCTCGTGGTCCGTGCTGGGACCACGCGGCAGTACATTACTCTCTAGGGTGAAGGAGACATCTTTGCATGTGTATGAAGCTCACCTAGTGCCTGGCATCCCACGCTGGCTGGATGACTGACTTTACCACCAAATATGCCATTCCCCCCACGAGGGCCCAGGACACCCTCTCACGGTGCCTGCTTGTTCAGGGAAGGGTGGGTTAAGCAAGGGGGGAATGTGAGCAGGCAAGCCTAGAGGATGCTGGAAGGAAGGATAATGAACAGGGACTGACTGAGTTAACCAAGCCCATCAGGGGCCATCGAGCCTCCAAGGAGGCCCGTCCTCCCAAGATGCTCTGGGCCACTTACTGTGCTGCCTACAGTGAAAGGTGTGGGGCCTGAGCAGGGCAGAGGCTCTAATGAAGGCAATCCCCTCTCCTTCCCCATCCATGACTTCTGCTACCCTTGTGCATTTTCTCCGCTTCCTTGATGGCCCTCACTGCCCACTCAACAGGCCCCCAAAAGCCCACCACTGAGGGAGTCAGGCTGGGCAGGAAACAAGCAGCGGCCTCCTCTCGGGCCTGCTTTATTTGGGCGCGGGGTGGGGAGGGCTCTAGGCCTGCCAGGCCCGCAGCAGGGCCCGCACCTGACCGATCTGCCAGTCGACACTGGAGCTCGCCGTGCCACCCAGGGCGGCATACTGCTCCACGCTGTGGCTGTAGTCCCACACGTGGCTCACGTCGCCCAAGAACAGGGGGCTGGGGGAGAGAGGAGGAGGTGGGCCAGGGCCCAGTGGGGTCCCCAGGGGCCTCAGGGTTCCAGGCTCACCTCCTGGGAGGCAGCAGAGGGAGGGGAGGGGGCCGCACCTGATGGTCTGTAGCTCCCTCAGCGACAGCTGGTTGAGGGGGACCCCCTTGGTCTCGGCCATGAACACAGCTTTCCCGGAGGCCTCATGGGCCTGGCGGAACGGCATCTGGGGCAGCCAGGCACGGGTGGCACCGACTCAGTCTTCCTCTGACCCCTGTTCAGCCCATGCCCTCACGCCCCCCCAACCCTCGGCCTGGGGGACATCCCCATCTCCCCCCTCCTCCCCAGCCACCCCACACTCACCCCTTTGCGGACCAGGTAGTAGGCAAGGTCAGTGGCCAGCATGTCGGGACTAAGAGCCCGTGCCATGTTGTCCCGGTGAATCTGGGGGACACCGGTGGGGGGAGTAGTGAGTCCTGGGGACTCTGGGTGGTGAAGCTGCCAGCCTCAGGCCCAAGGCGTACCCCTCGTTAGCCAGGATGTCCCCGGCCTTGGGCAGATCCACTCTGACCCAGCCTGCTTTGCTCTCTCTGCTTGAGCCATTTGCCATCATCACTGATGATGTTTAGGGGAGCTCCTGGGGTTGCCAGCACTTTTTCTCAGGGGCCCCAGCCTTAGCATGCATCAGAACCACCGCGTGGTGGCGGGTAGCGGGTAAAGATAGCCAAAGCCAGGTACTCCGGGAGCTGATTATTGTTGAAGCTGGCTGTTAGGCCATAGGGGTTCCTTGTGCATTCTCTCAACCGCGCATACCGAAATTTCCCATCATAGATGGCTAAAAAAGAAATCTGGTCAGGCCGGTTGATGGGACCCCTAGATCCTAACCCACTTCCATTCTCCTGCAGCTAGCACCTCTCATCTCTTCACAGGTCTCAGGGGCAGGAGCAAACACCTACCCACCTCCCCCTGCCCCAGATCTTCTGGATGCACCCACCCTCCCCTCCTCTCAAGATCACCTCCTGGCACGCCCATCCCAGAGCGGAGGGGCCTGGGGGACAAGACTGGGGGGCTTGCCTGTAGCGTAGAGATGACACCTGTGGCCACTTGGAGGACAGCACTCATGGTGTCTGACACTTCAAATACGGCTTCCTTGTCCTCCTGCGAGGCACGCGGCGGGAAGTGAGAGCCCAGCAGCCTTGTCCCCCACTGAGGCATCCCCACTGCCCTCCACTGGGAATGCTCAGCACCTCATACAAGCCACACCAACAGAGAGGAGAGTTCTCAAGGGCAGTCAAGGGCTGGGTGCATAGGATGGGAGGTGGCAATTCTGCGGGGCCCCTGCTGGGATGTGCCAGGGCCCCGAGAAATGGGATGCGGTGTATGTGCAGGTGGGTCCCTCACCCACAGCCCCAGCCTCACACCTGTAAGTCCTTGTTGTAGGTGCTTGGAAGTCCCTTGAGTGTCATCAGGAGCCCAGCACACTGAGAAAAGAGTGAGGCTGAAGAGGCTGGACCCCGCTCCCATCCTGGAAGTCCCCTCAGGACCCTCCAGGTCAGCCCAAAAGCCTTGCCCCCACTCCCTGCCCTGCTCACCCGCCCAAACACTCGCCCCGCCTTGCTCCGGATTAGCTCCAGGCTGTCTGGGTTTTTCTTCTGGGGCATCAGGCTGCTTCCGGTGCTGGGGACAGAGATGCTGGGGCTGAAAGGGCTCCCCTGCCCTTTGGCTGGTCTGCTGGCTGGATCAGGTGAGGTCTAGCAGCACGCAGTCCAGGTCTGCTCCGGGGGGGGGGGGGGCGCATGGGGAGGAAGGAAGCCATGCTGGTGGGTGCAGAGCTGGGGTAGGGCAGGGCCCAGCCTTACCTGTAGGCATCTGAGAGCTGCACAAAGCTGAATTCCTTGGTGCCGTAGAGGATGAGATCCTCAGCCATCCTGCTGAGGTGGGTCATGCACAGCGAAGCCCAGAACAGGAACTCAGCTTGTGGGAGGAAAGGGAGAGTAGGCCTTCTGGTCACCAGGCCTCTCTAGCTCCCCACTCAGTCTGGAGAAGCCCCAGGTGGACCAGACTTGGGGTGGGAGGGGGCTGGAGACGAGCCAGGGCTAGAGGACAAATCAGAGCAGGGTGCGGGGGAATGGCCCTACAGAGGACAAGCGTGCTGGCTCCTAGGACTCACCCACAAAGTCTCGCTCACTGGTGGCATCCATGCTGTTGAGGGTGATGGCCCCAAAGTTCAGCTCTGGAGGAGGGAGAGACGGGGAAGGCAATAGGGCTCGGCTTCCTCTACCCCAAATCAGGTTGCCCAGCCAGCTCCCCCTTGAGACCCTTTCAGGGAGGAGAGTAGGGAGGGGCAGGAGTGGGGAAGGGTCTCTTGTACAGGTCCCAGGAAGGAAGCAGGAGCTCTGAGTGTCCCCAGAGCCATGTACCCCTGCCACCAGCCTTCTCCTGCCCCTCTAGCCTCAGTGTCCATAGGTAATAAATGAGGGTTTCAACCAGACTCCTGCCCCCTCCGAGTGTGTGTCTGTGGGGCCTGGCAGGCACTGAGGGGGATCTCCGCAGGGGAGGGGCAAGGGCGCCTCACCTGCTCGGAGCAGCTCCCGGTCCACACCCAGAGGGTTGCCTGCAATGGCCCCGCTGCAGGAAGAGGGGAGCCCAGGTGAGCAGGGCTCCCGGCACATACACACGTGCACACCCAGAGCCAAGCCCTGACTGTCAGGGCTGCCGCCCAGCCAGCGTGGCTGATGGAACGCTTGTCCCCATGGAGTGGCAACGGCAGGCTGAGGGCAACTGGCCGGCGGGCTGGGACCTCCCTGGAGAGCTCTGGCCCTGCTCTGACATACTTGCCAGCCTGGTTATCCCCACCTTAGAGAGAGCCGCGGGTCCAAGCAGGGTTCCCTCCCTTTCGGAGAGGCCAGTTACCTGGCTGGCTGGCCTCCTCTGTCCTTCCTAGCACCTCCTCTTCTGCTGGTCCCCAAGGACCGTGCTAGCCATGTGGCACAACCCCCACCCCCACCTAGGCCCTCAGAACACTGGGGCCTTACTCACCTCCCCAGGGGCAGGACGTTGACCCGCTTCTGGACCTCCAACAGCCTCTCAGAGTCTCTGGTCAGCGCCACGGCATGGCTGCAGGAAGCCAGGGGGCAAGCGGTCAGGGCATCCTGGGGCCCTCCCTTCTGTCACAGCCCCTCCACAGTACCCCTGCCCTATGCCCCACCCCACTCACCTCAGGATCCAGTGGCTCCAGCGGATGGGCTGAGCCCTCTGCAGGTGCGTATACCCTGGGAAGAGGACGTCACGTTCCCTGTGGGGTTGGGGGGGGGCAGAGAATAGGGGCAGGGGCCTGAGGGGCTCAGCAGCTTCAGGCAAGGGCTGCCTGTGTCACCCCACACCCTGCAGGCCTGAGCCCCAACAGGGAAAAGCAGGGCCAGCCTTCCAAAGATCTGCCTGCACAAGAAACCAAGTGATCTCCTGGGGACAAACACATCATAATGGAGGAGACCAGAAGTGGGGCAGTGTGACCCAAGGACCGGGCCAGGGCTGTGGAGCCTCCCAGAGTAGGACTGGGGCTGGGACCAAATGGGATTAAGTCCTCAGCTCTGAGCAGAGGTGAGAGCAAAGGAGGGCACACAGAGTGGGTACTACCTGGCAGGGGGAGTCGCATTTGTGAGCACTTGAGAAGCTCCCAAGGACCTCGGAAGAGCAGGGGGCGCTTTATTTACTTATTTTTTTTAAAGATTTCATTTATTTATTTGACAGAGAGAGAGACAGCAAGAAAGGGAACACAAGCAGGGGGAGTGGGAGAGGGAGAAGGGAGCTCCCGCGGAGCAGGGAGCCCGATGTGGGGCTCGATCCCAGGACCCCGGGACCATGATCCGAGCGGAAGGCAGACGTGTAACGACTGAGCCACCCAGGCGCCCCAAGCAGGGGGCTCTTTAAAGTAGGCAAGGCAGAGGTGCTGTAGGTGATGGTTTTGTTTTTTTGTTTTTGTTTTTTTAATAAACAGCTTTACTGAGCTACAATTCACCTACCATTCACCCATTTAGACTGTACGCTTTAGTGTATATCCATCACTACATCAATTTTAGAAATTTTCCTTCCCCCAGAGAAGAAACCTTTTAGTCATTAGGAGTCACTCCCTGTTTCTCCCCAGCACCCCCAGGGTGACTGATGGTTCTTATGACCTCGTTGTCCCCCAGGTGGTAAGGTCAGTGAAACAGAGGTCCCAGGGAGCTGCGGAAGAGGAAGGGTCAACCCTGACTGTGACACCAGATCGGGACTTCTCGGCAGCAAATTGGCCAGGTCGGCAAAGAGCAAAGGCAACTCGAAAGACGTGCGGTCACAGGAGCCAAAACTTGGGACAAGGCCAGCGGGAGGCAGCTTTGGCTGTCCTGTGTCCGTGCTGGGTGGGGACCAGGGAATGGAACGGTGGACGGGGGGCACAGGCAGGCTGAAGGGTGACCCGGGCTGCCCCCAGCACAGGCGGCCCCTTTCCTCAGGCTTCGGGCATCTGCCTAGTGCCTCAGCCTCCTACTTATGAAGCCTCAGAGGGCGAGCTCGCCCTGCCTGCTGAGCTCGGCGGGCCTGGCAGTAGGAAACGCGGCAGGAAGTGCCCCCGCGCCTGGCTGCTTTGCCTCATTTGGTCCAGGAGTTCCAGGATGCCCCTGAACCCCAGGGCCTGGCTCCCCGACCGCCTTCACCCTTGCCACCTAGATCTGGCACTCAGGCTGCCTGTCTTAGGGGGCAGCAGACCCCGGCTGCCCTCATGCCCCCCTGGGGGTCCACGGGAGACTCACGCCTCTGCCCGGTCCACCATAGTTCTGATGAGCTCCCGGAGGAGGGCGGAAAGTTTAGAGCAGTTCTGTCGCATCCACAGCCTGAGGTCTGTGACCACCTGTGGGGAAGAGAATGTGGCACTCAGGGAGATGTGTTGCTTCGCTGGGGAGCCAGGACCACCGCCGAGCCCTAAATCTGCCACCTGGGCTCCCCAAGATCGGGAATGCACAGGGCCCGGGGGTGCGGTGGGGCGGGGGCCGTAGGAACTGGTGGCACCTGGTCATTCCGACTTCGGCCCGTGTGCAGCTTCCCTGCAGTCTCACCGATGAGCTCCTGGGGGTGGAGGGAGGCATGGGGTCAGGGTCTGCGTACTTGTAGCCCACTGGGGTCAGCTTAGGCAGGGCCTGGTTCCTCCCAGCCCTGTCACCTTCCCTCCCTACTCCTGGTCCCTGCCATCTCTGCAGAGGCCACCTGCTCTGAGGTCCGGCCTGCCCTCTGCCAGTGAGGAAGGGAACAGAATGATGGCGCTTATGCTCCAAGTGGCCAAGGGTGAGGTGGAGAGGGGAGGCCAGGCGGACAGGTAGGGGGGGTGGTGTCATACCTTCAGACGCCGCTCATTGGCTGTGTGAATATCTTCATCATTGGGGTTTAGTTTGAAGGTGCCCTGAGCCCACTCCTCAGCCACCTGTAGCAGATGGCAACAACCCCAGGGGTCAGGGGTCAGCCGTCCGCAGCCAAACCGGTCCCCGGTCCCACCCCTGGGAAGAGGACGTCTGAACACTGACTGTCTCTGTATAAGAGCTGAGTCCTACGGGTGCGCCACAGGAAGGGTGAGTGCTCCACAGGGGGATGCAGTCCCCACCCCCAAGGGACTTGGTAGGAGCCTGGGACCACAGGGAGGGGCTCTAGGGTGGGCCTTAGGATGTACAGAATACCTTGTCCAGTCCATGGAGTATCTGGTCCATCTCAGCCTTGGTGAGGAGCCCCGCCTTCTCCAGGCCCCGGCTGTAGGCCTTGCTGCCCTGCACATCCGCCTCCCACAGGTGCCGGTCATAGGCAATGGATGAGTTGAACTTCTCCATGATGGGGTCCACTGCGCCCACAAACCGGCCACCCCATAGCTTCCCACTCTGGCCAGGAGAGCAGGAGCAATTAATCTCCTCCCCACCCTTGAGAACAGTGCCTCTCACAAAGGGCCCACAGGAGAGTTATCAAGTCTGATGGCAGTGGGAACCAGCAGGCAGGATTATTTCACTGGACAGATAAGGAAACTGAGGCTCAGAGAGGATCAGGAAATTCCTGAAGTCACTCAGGGAGTCAGTGTGGGAATGTGGCTGAAGTTAGGGTTCTTTCCCACCCTGTGACACTTCTCTAAGGAAATGATGGCAGGGTACAAGGCACCCCTGAGACTACAGCAGAACTTCTGGGACCTTTCCTGCTACTGACCAAGGGAAGAAGTCACTCTGGAATCCAGAGTTTCAATCCAGCTGTGATACTCCAACGATAATGATAATAATCCTGGCTAACACATATCTCATTCTTGTGTGCCAGGCATAATTGTAATTGCTTAGCATGCACCAACAGAAACTCTCTGAAGTAGGTACCAATTCTGTCCCACTACAGAGAGGGGAAAACCAAGGCACAGAGCCCTTGCTGGGGAGGTAGAGCCAGGATTGCAGCCCAGCTATCTGAAGCAGGGTCCGCACTCCAAACCCCATGTTCCACCAGGGCCTCTCTGCGGGCTCTGGTATCCTGAACTTTTGCAGCAAGGACAGGCAAGGAAGCACCTGAGGGGCCCCATCAGGCTCCAGTGGCCTGCATTTCTCTCCCATAGCTTGGTGCAGGGCCTAAGAACCCAACCTCCACCACTCCTTTGGAGAATGCCTCTGGCACATCTGTTATCACTGGCCTTCTAGAAGGTCACTAGCTGACCCTCTGCCTCCCAGGAGCCAAGGGCAGAGGGGTGGGACAGAGACACCTCTGTTTGGAAAGAGTACAGAGGCCAGAACATGTGACAGATGGGGGAGGGGTACAGAACACATGGGGAGCAGTCCTAGCTCCCAGAATGCCAAGGATTAGGAGAGTGTTCCCTGGGTGAAGGTAGGCTTTCTACTTCACTGCCAACTTTTCTGTGGAGGAGAGTTTATAATGGCTGCTGGGGACATATGTCCTCTTCTGTCACCCTGCAATGTCCCTGACCTCTCCTAGCCACCTGATTGTGGGCATAGTATATAACCTCTCTAAACTGCAGGGTTACCCCTCTTTAAGGACAATAGTAGTACCTATCTGCTAGAGTTGTTATGAGCATTCAATTAGGTAAAATTTCTAAGTGCATACATAGCATGGTGCCTGGCACTCAGTAAATGCTCTTAGTAAGGGAGGGGCCAAGGGCTGCCAGAGGCAGGGCGTGCCTTAGCGCCAGTCCTGGTTCCTGTGTGCACCGTGGGGGCCTCCCCTGTGCTCACGCCCCAGGCTGTGAACTGACCCCTCATCGCCCAGCAGCCTTGGCTGTCTGAGGACTCTGCCCTGCAGAAGCAGCCTCCGCCCCCCTCAACCTTTTGAGCTAGATCCGCCCCTTACCCGCCAAGCCTAGCTCTCCCGCAAAGCACCCCATGGCTCCCTTTCCTGACTGCTGGGGCCAGACGACCAGGGCCGACCAGTGCCAGTCAGGATTGGGAGCCAGCCGGCCCCTCAGCCAGGAACCTGGCACTGCCTCCTCCAGCAGGCCCTGGACTCCCTGCCCAGGTTGTTAGTAATAACAACTACTTAACAAGTGGGGCTTCAGCCAAACCAATTAGCACCAACCCACAGGACGGCCTGGGGCAAGCATAAGTCACCTGATGCTCTGGTCTCCTGAAGGCAGTCCACTCTGCATTGGAGCCAAGCTCCCACCCCACTGGCAGGCTTAAAAAGACCCGAGAAAGAGGGGGCCTGGGTGGCTTAGTCCGTTGAGTGTCCGGCTCTTGGTTTTTGCTCAGTTCAAAGTCCTGAGATAGAGCTGCTCTGCTGGGCTCCCCGCTCCGTGGGGAGTCTGCTTGAGATTCTCTCTCCCTTTCCCAGCCCCTTGTGCCCCACCCCCACAAGCTCTCAATCTCTCTCTCAAATAAATAAATAAAATATTTTTTAAAAAAAGATCCCAGAAGGATGTCAGAATGAGGCACTACCATTTGGGCTCTGAAGAGAGGGGGAGGCCCAATGTGGCGGAAAGGGGACCCCTCTAACCTAGGGCACATCTGGGCCAGGATGATACCTTTGGGGCAAGGAGCACTGGTTTGGGTTGGGATGAATGAGCAACAGCCAACTTAGAAAGCACAAGGAAAATAACGTGTTGTTACTGTTGGTATCGTTAGCCACCATTTTTATTTTTTTAAAGATTGAGCGGGGACCCTGATGCGGGGCTCGATCCCAGGACTCTGGGATCATGACCTGAGCGGAAGGCAGACGCCTAATGACTGAGCCACCCAGGCCTAGTCACCATTTATTGAGCACTTACTACATAGTAGAACAGCTCGGCCCTGTGCTAGGCATTCTACATATGCTATTACACCCTCCTGTGAGTTGGGCACTGTTACCCTGGGAGGTCGAGTGACTGCTTCAGAAACAAACCCACCACACCATGATCCAGAAACTAGCAGGGCAGGCATTCTTATCCAGTTTATTCAGATGAACAAACAGGTCCAGAGAGAGGAAGTGCCTTGCTAGCTAATGAGGACCAAAAAGGACTGGAACCCAGACCTCCTGCTTCCCAGGCCACAGGTTCCCTTCACTGGCATCAAGCAAACAGCTCCTTTTACCTGAAAGCTTCAAAGCAATGACCTCATGATCCAGTACCTTACAGAAGGAGGCAGAGATCTATTATTATCCCCATTTGCCAGATAATTCAACTGAGGCCCCAGAAAAGACACCTATGCCTACTCAGTGGTCAGGAAGAGAACCCAGGAGCCCTCTGGCTCTAAGGAAGAGAGGCCAGTGAGACAGGAGGCCACCAGACACTGGGGCCTCTAGGGCCCCAGGGCATGGTCCCCTACCTCCTGGTTCTTTCCGCAAGCCATAGTCATGTGGCCTCCTCTACACAGGGACAAGGGCTACAGCAGGAGAAGGGGCGCAGGGTGGGGACTAACAGGAAGGGCATCGGGGAAGAAGGAATGAAGAGGCGAGGGAGCTGAATGAGTGGGCAGCTCCTTTCCTGCCCCCTTGCTGGGAGCACTATCAGGTCAGGTCAGGGCCACCTTCCCTAGCCTTGTGGGCTGGTAAGTGCCGCACAGGCTCCCAGGGAGCGGGAAGGGAGAGAGAGCAGACGGTGATGCGGCCACCGGGAAGGCCAGGCACAGGTCTCTCCCAGGCCCGGGCAGGTGCACCAGGAGGTACCCATCGCCTGGAGCCAGCGAAGACGATTACCAGGAGGGTGGCCGGCGGCAGGTCTGGCACGGGGAGATCCCGTGTGCAGGTCACGGCCCTGGCTGGCTCCCAGAGTGCCCCTCCCCCTCGTTTGGACACTCGGAGGACCTGCGTCCCCGAGGTCCCACTCACCTCCGATGCCATGTTGGGCGGTTCGTCGTCGTCCAGGGGCCTCGGTGGTCCGGGTCTGGAAGACAAGCCGGGATTGACAACCTCCTCGGCCCCCGGACGGGGTCCCTCGGGCGGGGCGGGTTCGGGGCTCCGGGCTTCGGCACTGCGCTTGCCCCAGCGCAGCCTGTGGGGAGGCGGACGTGGGCAGCGCCCAGCGCGCGCCACGGTCGTCGGCGTCCTCTGCTCCGCCCGCCCCGCGCGTCCCGCCCGTCCCGCCTGTCGGGCACTCACCACCTCCTGGCCGCGCCGTCAGTCCCCTGGCCAGCAGGGCCCCTGGCGGGGCTTTTCCGGCCGCGCGATAGTCAGCGGCGGCCCGGCCCTGTGCCCGCCTCCTGGCGGCGGCCGCACCAATCCCAGGAGGCCTGGCGGGGTGGGCGTTGCCTGAGCCCTCCAGCCCCGGCTGTGGGCGGAGCCGTTTCGAGAGCGGCTTTGGGTCGGGCGGCCGCAGGTAGGGGGTAGGGGCGGTGAGGGTGGTGCCTGAGCGACAGCGCGGAAGGCAACAAACTGCGCCCGGCACGGAAAACACCCGGCCAGGCCTGGCGGGCTCACAAGATACAAAAGGTGAAAAGGCATGCCCGATCATTCATTCATTCAACAAAAGGTAGGCGGCACCTCCTTTGTGCCAGGTAGAGTTGGACACTGAAGAAAAAGAAGTGAGCATAAGAAATGATAACCTGCCTCAAGAAGCCCTGGCAAGGCGTGGACAGGTTTCGGGGAGCCCTGATGGCAGCACGGAGGCCGGCGTGTATTTGGGGTACTCAGGGAAGAGTTCCTTGATGTGATTAACTATTCAGCACCGCTAGACAGCGGTGGTACAGCATCCACCTTGCGCCCTGAAGGGGCTTCTAATGGAGATGTCCCCGAAGATGAGAGGGAGTTAGCTCTGCAAAGAAGAGGGTTAGAATTGTCCCTGCAAAGGGAGTAGCCTCGGCGAAGGCCTGGAGGCCAGAATGTTAATGACCTGCTGGGAAAACAGGAACCTGTTAGAGTAGCTGTAACAAAAGGACAGGAGTGGGGTGGGCAGGAGTGGTGGGAAGTCGTTTCCAGCAAGATTACAAAGGGCTTTGAATGTCAAGGAAGAGAGTTTGGTCTTGGTCCTGTAGATCATAGGGACCAACAGACCGGAATTACTTGCAGTTCCTAGAATGTATCAGGCTCTTTCAAGTCTCCTTAAATGCTCTTTCCTGTGCTTGGAATGCCCTTCCTTCACTGTCTGTCTCACTGTTCCCATTTGTCCATCAGTATTCTAGCCAAGCATCATCAATGTTGGGGAGACTCCCAGCTGACCAGGTGTCCAGCTCTGGGCTCCCGTTGGATCCTATAGGAGCACCTAGTAGTCTTTCCCTGAATTGAGAGCAGTGTAGTTGTAGCTTCAGGTCCTCTCCTCTACCCAGGCCTCATCTACATTATCTCCATGACTCCTAGCCCTTTCTTGTCTTCTCCCCCAGAAGCCCCAGAACTGGGCTACATCAGGCCACAGGTAGACCAGAGATGGGGAAGCCCATGAAACCAGCTGTGCGCCATGTGGTCCTCAGCTGAGAGCTGTGGCAAGTCCCTGGGATCGACTTGCTAGGGTCTGAAGCCTGACATCCCTTCCCAGGCGGCCAAGGGTGAGAACGAGTGGTACTCTGCAAACAGGTTCATATCCCTGAATATCCAGCAACCCTCTGGCGAATGAGTTGAGGCTGGAAAGAGAGTCAGGGAAGATGTTTGAGAGCAGAGCTACAACCATGATGCATAACACAGGTAGGGCTGTAAATGCAACACCTAACACAGTGGCTCACCAGGTGCCAGACTGTGTTAAAGCCTTTACATGATTGATCTTATTTCATCTTCACAACAGTCCTGTTTACAGATGGAGAGGTTGAGTCTGCAAAGGGTTAGAGGTTAGTGGACGTGCCCATGGGCAACCAGTTAGAAGGAGACAGTCGGCTGACCACACTGTACCACATGACAGAAGAGAGACTGTCACCTCAGATTTGCTTGCAGCAAATAGCAGACCTGTTCTGTGTGGCGGCTTCTGCAGGGTTGGGGAAGGGAACTGAGGAGAAGGAGGAAGACAAAGAGGCAGCATGAAGGTTTGTGAAGAAAAAACAAACAAACAAACATAGACAAATCAAAAGAATCTGCAGTTAAGACCCTGGCAGTATACACTAAAGTGGGCATGACCCTTGATCTTAAGGAAATGTCCTTGGCATTAAAGACTCATGGAAGCACAGGAACCAAATTCTCTCCGAAAAAGCTGATGATGTCCCTGAGCAAAACATCAGGGAGGCTGAGAGAGGTTTGGAGAAGAGTTCCTGCCAGTGGCCAGTCTGTTACCAGCACAGGGAAGGTGGATAGGAAGGACAGGTCCTCTCAAACCACCAGAGGCCTGAAGGGTGACTATCTCAGGCCTTCAAGAGGCAACACTCAGTCCATTCAATAGCCTAGCCACTCTTGCCCCAAGTAGGAGGTTTAGGTGGACCCTAAGTTTGGCATGGGAAGGAAAATTGGCTCTTGGGCCATTGTGGAAAGCAGTTACAAGTGCCTCGTTCTTAGGGACCTCTTTGATGACTGTCAGACCCAGTTCCCCTTCAGAATGACAGGATGTGGCTGCTGGGGTTTGGGGACTGGGTGAATCCATTCCCAGGGAATTGCTAGTGTTGGCTGAATCCTATAATGCAAAAGAAATGGTGGCTGAGATTGGATCAAATTCTCAAGGCTTATTAAATGACAGGTGCACAAATTCACAGCCAGGAGACCCAGACTATAAGAAAAGCTAAAGAAGTTCTTCATTCTGAGGGGAAATGAAATAAGATAAGAGCTTGGGTCTACAAGAAGGAATAAGAAGTCCTGGAAAAGGCAACTGTATATTGAAGACTATTCTCTCTTCTTAATTTCCTTAAAGACAAATGACTAGGGGCACCTAGCTGGCTCAGTCAGTTGAGCATGTGACTCTTGATCTCCAGGTTGTTGGTTTGAGCTCTACATTGGGTGTAGAGATTGCTTGAAAATAAAATCTTTTTTTTTAAAAAAGATTTTATTTATTTATTTGAGAGAGAGAGAATGAGAGATAGAGAGCACGAGAGGGAAGAGGGTCAGAGGGAGAAGCCGACTCCTTGCCGAGCAGGGAGCCGGATGTGGGACTTGATCCCGGGACTCCAGGATCACGACCTGAGCCGAAGGCAGTCGCTCAACCAACTGAGCCACCCAGGCACCCTTGAAAATAAAATCTTAAAAAAATAAAGACAAATGACTAAACTAAAAATAATAACAATGTGTTGTTAGCTTTATAGCAAAGTAGAAGAGGATATGAATGGAATTATACTGTTGTAAGGTGGTTATGTTATACATGAAGAGGTATACTAATATTAATTCAGAGCAAACCGGGATAAGTTAAGGATTCATATTGTAATCCTTAGAGCAACCACCAAAAAAAGGTACATCTAAAAACCCCGTAGATGAGATAAAATGGAATATTAAAATATACTTGATCCAAGGAGTTCAAGAATAAAGGACACAAGTATAGATAGAAAAAAAATAATAGATTTAAACAACTGTATCAATAATTACGTTAAGCGTAAATGGATTAATCACTTCAATTAAAGGCAGAGATTGTCAGAAGCATTTAAAAAGTAAGATCCAACTATATGCTGCCTGCAAAAGGTTCACTTAAAACATAAAGACACAGACAAGTTAGAAGTAAAGGGATGGAAAAGATACACCATGTAAGCATAATCATAAGAAATCTGGAATGGCTGTTTTCATATCAGACAAAGTAAACTTTTAGGCAAGAAATATTACCAGAGATAAAGAGGAGCATTATATAATGATAAAAGGGTCAATTAATCATTAAGTGCTAACAATCCCAAGTGAGTATGCTCCTAATAACACAGCTTCAAATTATATGAAGCAAAGATTAACAGAAATAAAGGGATAAATAAATAGCTCCAAAATTATAATAGGAGATTTTTAACATCCCTATCTCTGTAATTGACAGAACCAGTATACAAAAAATCAGGAAAGATTTGGATGATCTAAACAAAATTATCAACCAACATGACCTAATTGATCTTTATAGAACATGCCACCCAAAAATGGCAAAACAAATGATTGGTGCCCTTTGCAAGCAGCAAAATGACAAAAATTTTTGTATGTAAAAATAACCTTTAAAAATATATTTCAATCTAGGGGCACCTGGGTGGCTCAGTTGGTTAAGCACCTGCCTTCAGCTCAGGTCATGATCCCAGGTCCTGGGCTTAAGCCCTGTGTTGTGCTCCATGCTCAGCAGGAAGTCTGCTTCTCCCTCTCCCTCTGCCCCTCTGCCCCCACCACCCCAGCTCATGCTCTCTCTCTGTCAAATAAATAAATAAAATCTTAACATATAATATATTAATATATATATTTCAGTATAAATATATACCATGGGATATAACTCAGCATATAAAAATAAATGAACTATTGATATATGCAATGACTTTGCTGAATCTCCAGGAAATTATGCTTAGTGGGAAAAGAAAACCAATCTCAAAAGGTTATACATTGTATCATTCTACTGATACAACATTTTTGAAATGAAAAAAATTTAGAAATGGAGGATAGAGTAGTGGTTGCCAGGGGTTAGGGATGGTGGGGAGAAGTGGTTATATAAAGGCAACACGAGGAATCATTGTGTTGTTGGAACTGTTCAGTATCTTGACTTTGTGATGGGTACACAAAACGACACAGGTGATTACATTGTGTAGAACTTAATACAAATATAGACACACACATAAAAAGAATACAAGTAAAATAGGGAAATCTGAATAAGATCATTAGATTGTATCAATGTCAAAATCCTGGTTGTGACATACTGTAATTTTGCAAAATGTTACCACTGGAGGAAACTGAGAGTGTAAAGGGATGTCTCTGATCATTTCTTTTTTTTTTTTTTTTTAAGATTTATTTATTTATTTTAGGGAGAGAATGAGAGAGAGTGAGTGGGGGTAAGGGCAGAGGGAGAAAGAGAACCCTGAAGCAGAATCCCTGCTGAGTGAGGAGCCTGACACAGAGCTTGATGCCAGGACCCTGAGATCATGACCTAAGCTGAAACCAAGAGCCAGGCACCCAGTCAACTGAGCCACCCAGGTGCCCCTCTAATCATTACTTACAACTGCGTGTGAATCTAAAATTATCTCAAGAGGGTCACTTGGGTGGTTCAGTCAGTTAAGCATCTGCCTTCAGCTCAGGTTATGATCCTGGAGTCCG